CCTATGAAGCTATAAAATAAACAAAAAAAAACAAAACAACTTTCGTTGCGCCATTTTAACGTCTCGTGTGTGCAGTGCTGTAAAGTTTTTAAATCACGGCCAGTAATTTGCGTAAATTAAAATCAAAACGTATATTTGAAGCTCGTAAAATCGAAGGATTTCAATGTAAGTATTTTTTTACAGCTTTACAATATATCAAGCGCAATCAGTTTGCGGTGAATTTCGTCACTTCGCCTTGATTGAGTTGTACAAGATGTTAGTCGTCGTTTTTTCACGACCGCCTCCCCCCCCCTCCCATCGTTTGGACGACATTCACTTGTTTGCGCGTGTGCTATCAACACATCTACAAATCGCCACAGCGGAAAGTGAGTCTGTTTACATTTGCAGGTGTGAGAACGACAAAAAAAAAATAGAAACCAAGAGAGGCGCGAAAAAGGAATGAAAAAAAGTACAACACTCGTGAAATAAAAGAACTGGCGTGTAATTTTTTGAAATTTTATCGCATAAATACATGTACAAGTGTGCAAGCAAACGGAGGTGCCGATGGATTTGACGAGTTGTTTTAAAAATCTAGCGCTATACTTCCATGAGGCGTTGGTGTAACTTTGCACGCTCGTGCATACATAAAAAAAAAAAAAAGTCGTAAATACATCCGTATGTATGTATATGTATCTCGAGAACGCGCGTTGCTTGTTGTACAGATAAAACAATGATGTTCCCATGCGTAGATTTTTTTTTCGTTACTTCATTTTGCAGCAACTATAAAACGTAAGCAAGTTGATGTAGTTCCACGAAGTTTTGTGACCTAATGACGTGCCAAACACACAATGCACGCGATGTGTACGCAATAGGTACAAAGTGAGGCTGAAGGGGAGTCGTAAAAGTTTCTAGCCTCGTTTGTACAGTTATTTTTTTTTTTTTTTTTTTTTTTAGCAACTACATTACGTGTGTACCCAAGTAAAGTTGTCATTGTTCGTAAATGCTGCGGGTGAATCAAGGCAATTCGTCAAATTGATAAAATTTATTATTTAAACGCTCGAAGGATGAAAGTTCGCCGCTGGTCTCATCAATCGTTTGCACTTTTTTCGATTGGATGGTATTTTCGGATCGAACATCTAACAAAGCAACCACTTGAATGAGTAGGTATTTGAAAAAAAAAAAAAAAAAACTTCCACTATTTTCAGCCAATACGTAAATAGTGTACCATTCCAGGCGCATGTATTTAGGTATAATTGTATCATATTTGGCTCGTTAAGTATACACCCATGTATTCTTCAAACACGCCTCGAAAAAAGCTACAAGATAAGCTAAAAATTCCTGCCGATAATTATAATTAGCATGTATTCGTACCTGCGTATATTGTTTAGGTAGCACCTGCTTTAACATTTGTTGGTGTAAAACAAATAGAGCCAGAGCTAATGGAAAAAAAAAATGGACCATGATTTTCTGTTTCAGATGGTCTCGATAGCCAAAGTGCCCTGGATCCCTGGTCGATAGTGTGGTACATCGGCTCGTTCGGCGGCCTCGTGGCCTTCTTCCTCATAGTCAGCTGCTCGGAGTGGTGCTGCCGTCGCGGCGCCCGGCCGGTATCGGCGCCCTACGCCGGCCGGCGCGACGAAGCCGGCATCAACAGCACCGTCCGGCCGGTAAGCGAGTCCCCACCACCGCCTTACCACCTGTTCGCCCCACCGCCCTACGACTCGGTCAATTACGCCGAGGTCGCCGACAAGAGCGCCAACGGCGAGAAGCTCGACATCTACGTCATCACCCTGCCGATCCACCACCAGCCGGCCCAGCCAACCCACCAGCTACAAGTCCCGGGTACGCGAGCGCCCGCGTAGAAGCACGTCCTCGTGGTCGCGAGATCGCGGCTGCTGGGCACCACGAGGCTACTGCTTTTGCAATCCATAGTCCTCTCCCCCTCTCGGCGGAGGGCCCGCAGTGGCGAGCGCGACCACGAGGCCAGAGGTGACGATCGCATCGAGCCCCGGGGAGGATCGACAGCCACGAGGATACCGATCTTCGAGTTGGACAACGAGCCGGCCGGGGCCAACGGCGACCTGGTCGGGAGCGTGCTGTGACGACGAGCGGCCCCGACGGTTAACCACGCCGAGAACGGGAAGTGAAGTACGGGCCGTTTGGGAAAACCAAGGGCTTCGTCCGTGTCACCGATCCCCGACCATCTGAATCGTGTGTCGTGCACTACCCGTAAGCGCGCGCGCGCGCGTGCTGTGTTTTAACAGCTATAGTTGTAAGCACACAAACCTGTATGATTATGCCACACAAGTATGGTACAGCAATATAGCGATCGTATTTAGACGAGGTGCCTCTGCGTATAATATATGTATGAATGGTGTGCGAGATCTTTCACGCGAGGAAAGTTGTAAATTCGAGAGAATGCAATGTGTGTGTGTACGTATAGCGAGCTCACGAGCTGGACCGATTGTTTTCAAGGCGAAGATTAACACGGAGCACATTGTAGTTTGTTAGCGATACTCTGTAGTAAGGCTTTTACGGGGATAAATCGGTATCCAACGATCGCTTGGTTTTCGCGTGTCGTTCGCGATGGGCATCAATTATATGTAATATATATGGGTGTACGAGACGGGCACCGGACGAGTAATGCCCATGTAACGATTTTGCGTGGGCAGCAGCAGATCGAAAAAATCCAAAGTCGGTGCTCCGTAGAGAGGGAGGGCCATGAAAATTCCTCGATCGTTCATCAAGCGATTTAAAACAATGCAGTGAAAAAAAAAATGTTCGTTTAGTCGGAAGAGCCGAGGTAACCGGCGACTGTGCGACGACTTGGCATTTGACCTCAATCACTGCCGTGGAAACTCACTCGTCTGCGCTCATCTCTCTGTCCACCGAGGAAGCCCGATTATTGTTGTTTTTCCTTGGAGATCGGTATGACATTGACACCAGGGCGTGTGTCACTGTTTACAAAAGCGAGCCCAAAAGCACAGCGAGCATTATTTTTTTAATACAAAAATCGCATCTCGCGTGCCGATGTATATTCGTGGGTGTGGCTGAGAGTCGATTTTTTTCTTTTTTCTGGCGGCAAGAGTCTCGAACGGAGCAACGAAAATTCTTGCTCGTAAAACCAGCAATATTCGCGTATGGTCTCCACTCCCACGCGAGGGCTGAACCTAAATTTAATCCAACACGTTTGCAGTGCCGAAATTATAAATAAACGCACCGCGCCCCGAGCGCACGTTTTCGCTGCCGATCTTTTTCTTTACCCAAACTCAGGCTCGACAACATTTTCATTTGATGCATACTCGTGTGTACCTACAAGTAATAGCAATTAAACATAAACGCACGATCGCAATTTTGTTGCATGGAAAAAAAAAAACCACGCGGTGTGTGTCTAGTTATTGATAAAGCTTGTGTAAATATACATAGCACTTTTTACCGCCATAAACGTAAAAAGTAAAGAGCCGAAAAGACACTTGCTGCCGTTATCTTTTCAGCCACATGTATATACACGCGCGCGCGCGCGAGCGACGCCGAGGACGCGGGAGCTCGTAAAAGCCACGTACTCCCGCGCGCGATATCACACGCGCGGAAGTGTTGGTGTCCGTGTGTATATATATACCAAGCGCGAAACTCATCTTCTTTGCTGGCCGGCTGCCGAACTCGCTCTTCGAAATCGAGCTTTTTGCCCTCCTCCCCGTCTCCTCGAGACCTCGCGTTCTAAAAAAAAAAAAAAAAAAAACATCGGGTGCGTGCGTGGGTGCGCGTAAAAGGTCGGCGTTTGTTATTGTTTCCTCGCTGCGCCCGGCAAGTTTTTAATCACCGCAGCGTTTGGGCGTTAAGCGGCTGACGAGAGTGCAGGCGATCCGAGTTTCAGGTTGTAAAAAAGTTTGACCGCTAAAATTAAAAAAAATAAAAAAAATAGGACAGGCTTGAACACAATGAACGAGCCAAAGAAAAGGCACCAAACGAGGACCATTTGAAACAAAAAACCAATTTATACATCCTATAAAACGTATACACAGCCCATTGGGAGAAGAAGCAAAAACTGTAGGTGTAAAAGAGGGTAGGGCTGGGGGAATGGAAAAACGAATTAAGCGCCATCACTCTTACCGGCGTCTCCTCTCGCGCTATTTTTCTCCCTCACCCTTCTCCCGCCGAAGTAAGCTCGACGCACTCTTATCGCGGCGTACCTCCGATAAGCGCTTTCACGTACACACATATATTATACAACGCGTAACGTATGTAAGTACTATCATTTTTAGCTTTTCTCAACCAGCTCGAACTTTTTTTTTTTTTCGATCGGTATTGCCTCGTGTACACATTTGTATATATTATACATATAATAAGCATCGCGTATGATCTCAACTAGTCGTTCGTGTGTCCATGTATATAATTATAATATTACGTCACAGTAGGTACATACGTATATGAAATTAGGAACATCGGTTACTTTTAGTTTTTTCTTTTTTTTCTTTCAATTTTCGGTGGGCTTACTGGATCACGCGTTTTGTGATATATTGTAACGGGGCATGCGTGGAGCGCGTGATTGTCGATTATCGTGGCGTGTGCTGTGCATGACGAGAGAAAAAAAAAAAACCGAAAAAGAAAAAAAAAAAAAAAATTAACCTGTACAACGTAAAGCAGGCACGAAGGTTTGCGGGAGGCTGTTTGTGCGATTATCGTATTATGTACCGTCGTTATCTCGCGCGTTAATTCGCGGGTGTGTGTGTGTGGGTGTGGGTGGCGTATGCAAGAATGAAGAGTGACGCGATCGCCGTCGGTAAATTATTTTTTGTACTTTTATACGCGCGAAGCTGTTTTTTAAGAAAAAGAAGAAGAAGAAGAAGAAGAAAACAAACCAAAAAAAAATAAAGACAAAGAAGAATAATGTGCGTCGGCGACGATCGACCTTTAAATGATTGTTTGTCGATGAGATAATAAACTTACGTTTGATCATTCGATCCCACGACTTATTATTCGCACGATCCTCGGTGATGTTTGTTTGTATTTTTGTAGACAAAAGTAAGTATATAACCCAAGGATTCCGAATGTTTATACAAATACATACACAATTTTATAAAATTGACTGGTAAGCATTGATTCAACGCTTGGACCTATACGTGTTACTACTTTGGAAAAATTCCATTCAACATTCTACATGTATGTGATCAAAACAAAAGGACGAAAATCACAGTATCGGATGAAATCGGTAAGTGTACTATCTTTGAAAATGTTCCGGGTATACAGTAGTCGGAGGATGACGAGAGAAAAAGGCCGAAGAAACAATAGCAACAAAGTTGCACAACAAAAGCAGGAAAGAATAAGGCAGGTGGGACCCCGTCCAAATAACGTTGCGAAATCGCGGGTATAGGTATACAGTTTTATATGGCAAGTAGGTGACGGTCAATGTCAATATAGTCAAGGATGTAAATACATAATATAGTGAAGAAATCGCGAAACAAAAAAAAGTTTTCCTTTTTTACTTATACGCGCTTATTGTGTCGTAATCGACTATTACGTCGAAGCGCCGGTTCATCGACATAACAATAAATTTCTTGGTAATCGCGATAACGCGCTTGCAGGGATTAAAGTTTTATTGCCGCGTAAAGCATGAGATCGGTTTTACAAGGTCATTGCCGATTTTCGCGATCGTCACTTTTTCTTTTTTCTTCTTTCACAAAGATATGTATATACGTATTACGTAGATACACTTATTTAATACTTTGGATACTCTGCATACTGCAGTGTACCTCGAGTTAAATGCAAATAAATCGTACTTGAAACGAAAAAAAAGAAAAAGAAAAAAACTCTCGCGAGACGTTGCACGCAAGCGTACATCTTCATTTTCAATTTTCAAGCGTACACTCACGATTTCGGTTGTTTGATGTAACAGCGTTGGGGACGTATGCACAGGAAAAACTAGAGCCCGCGTATTACCAACGCTCGACTTTTCCCCGGTGTATACTATGCACCTACATAAAAATACCCACCGGCAAAAGGAAAGAGAAAAGAAAAGACGAAGGAGAAGGTCGTTCGCGTGTAATCTGTCGTGAAATTAGCTTATCGGCGATCGCGTTGGCGCTCCTTGGTTTGGATAAGCGCTTGGGGGAAGGAAGAGGGGGGTGGGGAAAAAAAAAACAAGAGAAAAAAGAAAGTTGTCGAGCGGAAGCCGGGAGTGGAAGGCAAATCGTGCGGGAAGGATCCGTTTTCTTTTGCTCTCTTTCCCGCTGTTCTCCCCCTTTTTCGCCCTTCACGCGGAAAGGGCTATATACCACTATACGTGAGTTGGATAACGTATTTTTTCAAGGTATATGTATATATAATACACACGGAGGTGGTGGATTATCTTTGAAGCGTTTCTTGAACTTTCGCTCTTTTTTTTTCCTCCCCCCTCGAAAAATCGGCAACTATGGGCACCTTTTTCCCTCTCCGTTGTTCGCGTCGAATTCAATACATATTAGTGAAAAATTCACCATGCATGTACGTACAGTTATTTGGAAATTCCGTGTTAACTATTTCGAGTATTTTCGTGTACAAAGCCTGGGAGCTCGTACATATATATATACACTAATCGACGGCGACGTGACTCTTACCAGCCGATGCGCCCCTGCAATGTCACTCGACATCACAGCGATAAGGTATCTCGCGACTCTGAGCGTATTACGTACACACGGGAGCCGAGATGCATACACGCGGCCGAAGGGAGGGGGGGGGAACCTTACGCGCAGAGATAAAGAGCAACGATTTACGTTACTCCCATGGATTTTATTTTATTTTTGTGTCCCGCGTATTGCTTCACTCGCAGCCAAAAATAAAAGCTTTCGCTCGATTAAAAAAAAAAAAAAAAGAAAAATTGGGGGAGGGCAAGGAGGAGGAGGAGAAGTTGAACAAACGAATCTTGTTAGCTCCGCGAAATCCGAAAGTTTGTCAGGATGATAAAAGTTCCGGCGTCTCGAGTCGCAACTTTGCCTTTTCCGTATATATACCTATATACATGTAACAGCACGCAACGCGTCAGTCCGCGGGATATATATTTTTTTTGGTCGCCAAAAGCTGGACAGATGGAAAGGGGGGGGGGGGGGCGAGGGTAAATTTTAATTTAGCGTACCGCGGATACTTAGCGAAAGAAAAAGGGAGTTTGTGGGGCTTTTAGCGTCAATCGCGCGACCGTTTATAAGCCGTATTGAGGCCCATCGAGGCCTGTAAATGCGTGTACGCACATTGACAGAGTTCGCGCTCTTTTTTTTTTTTTTTTTTCATCAAAGATCGGCTCGAGGGATGATCCGGTGCAAGGGTATGAGATGTCGCGAGTCGGGTAGCTGTACACGTATGGTACAGCGGGGAAGCCCTTGGAAATAATCGAGAGAGCGAGTAATCGGATGATAAAATGGCCCTGCTGTTGCTCTCTAATGCCTACAAGTAGGTACCAGGTTTTTTCGGTATATGAGTCGTGCGAACAAAAAATATGTCACATCATATTGTATATATATGTATATACTTTCAACCAAAATGTATATGTACCCGTATATAATTATATCGTGCATCATATTTGAGTGTAAGTATATGTGCCGGTGTGACGTTGGTTGCCTGCAGCTGCGAGGTGTTTGCCCAAGTGCTGTTGGGGGATTACGGAGGTGTCTGAGAACTCGTGATCCGAGTTCAAACATAAAAGATAAGTACATAGGATACGTAGGGTGATGCTGTCTGCAGTGGTTGGAAAAATTTGTTAATTTGATGTACCTTCGAGCATGTGATTGATACCCCAATTGGAATCGAACAAATGTCAATACTCAAACTTAGATCTTTGGATTTTCATTTGGATTTTGTCGCTGCAATCGTGGATCTACAGTACACGTCACAATGACGAAATTTATTAATTTTACTTTACAGTGTATACCATTTTTTTTATTCTCAATCACGTGTGCGCATATAAGTATGAAATACTTTATAGTTACATACATTTTTCGAAATAAATTTTCAGACGTACGAATCTCAATTTGATTTTTTTTTTTTTTTTTAATTACAATTTTATAAAAAAAGTGTAGGTATCATTTGTACACGCAAATAAGGGCACCTCGGTTATTTCTGTACTCGAACGATAGCGTGTCAGATTTGATACAGATTATCGGGTGATCGATTGCTTTGCGATCAGTTCTATAAATAGCGTCTCTAGAAACCTAAATATTACCTGTATCTTACGTGCTTCTCCATTTCCATTGAACAGCGTGAGAGAAATTCGAGGAAGAAAAAGAGCAATTACCGATTTTTGCTTACCACGAAGTTTTTTGTGTTTTTTTTTTTTTTTGTTTCTCCTTCTATTGAGCTTATGCCTATATTATTATCAAGTATTTATATGTACATGGGTATACCTGTGCATACAAGCGCTTATAAAACATATATGTTGTAGGATCGGAAAACGTTTGTCACAGAGAGGTGGTGATGCGCGGTAAGGTGTATACTGTACGCACAGCTATAGGTTGCGACAAACCGGAGCTGAGATCGTGCAAAACAAAGGGGCAAATAGATGAGTATATTTAATTAATGAAAAACAAAAAATAAATAAATAAAAGAAAAGGAGACGCAAAACAAAGGTGGTCGGTAGTGTTATTTCCACTGCTTGAATATTCTTGATCGTATCGGGGTATAATCGCGGCTAAACGAGGCCATTTGTCACTCGTCACGTCATGTATATATAAAATGCGTTTTAAAAGCATATTACACACGCGGATGAGCACAAACAATACGTTAAACGGACAATTATGTACGAAAATTTTTTATACTTCAGTAACGAGATTGAAAGATTTTTTCTTTTCAGACAAGCTTTCGACGTACAAAGATTTTTATGGTCCACATGTTCTTGGAGCTGTGGAAAAATTCGTACATACGCGTATTCGTGGAAGAATCTCAGAAACGACTGTTTGTTTTTTTAAAATCATTTCCCAGTTATTGATTTTTCGTGAGCCCCGCAATCTTTGATTTAAAGGCCAATCTAGAGATATACTCTCCAATTTTGCCATTTATCGATGGACAAAACTCTGCTGCGAAGGTGTGTCTCGAATATCCTTATTTGCAGAACGGCTCGTAAGTGTATAAGGCGATGGACTAACAACCGCGTAATTGCTCTCCTCGTGTCGGGATTAACAATACGACGACGGAGGACGGCGACAGTCCCGATCGTATCATCCGTCGATTCATCGCTTATAATATTTAATTGCACGTAACGCTCGTGCAGGTATTGTTATTTGTGATTCGCATGCGGATGCGCTCGAGCGACTCATTTTATATATACACACATTGCGTGTGCGACGTGTGTGTACGCGCGCAGATGATGATTGATCGTATTTTGTTTGTCATTGTTATACTTTTGCTGCAATATTCTATAGCAATGAAAATCTTTTTTTTGTTTTGTTTTTCAATCGCTTATTTTAACAACAAAGTGTACAAGAACAATGTCTTGGTAGTTATACATTCGTACGTAGAGGGAAGTCTATACGTTTTCTACGGACGGCCGCAGCAATCGTCCCGAGGTAGGTAAATTAATTTCCATCCTTATACCTATACTTACGCAAGTAAGGATAAATTTATGCATATGATGTGTATCGAGATAACGCGTAAGTTGACAAACTAATTTCATTCCGAAGGAAAAAAGATTTCAGCTTCGTAGAAAGTTCACGTTTCCACAAGCTCTCATATACGATCAAATAAGAGAAATAATTTTTTTTTTGTTAACTGTCGCCTCAAATGATTTTCAAATAGTTTAATTGCGTAAAACGTGTGCACGAAAACCTCACTCGTGAATTTACAAAGTGTACCTCCACCGTAAACAAAGTCCGTCTACCTCATCCGTTGGTAACCATCTCATCCCTGTGCATTTCATTTCCAAAGCAGAGGATTGGCATGAAAAAAAGGGGAAAGAAAAATCCTTCCCCGGGAAAATGTCGCCGAGCAAAAGAAAACTTTGCACGTCTCGGCAAACGGTGGCCACAGTCTCGGCATTGTCGGCTCCCGGGAAAACGAGATTCCTCCGAACAAATTTGCGAAGCCATACGGCAAAACCCAAGACGTACGGGTACTTACGAAGAAGAAGAAGAAGATCGAGACGCGAACGAGACAAAAGGTCGGGGCGGAGAAAAAAATGATCGAGCTATTTGCTTTCGGAAAACTGGTTTTCCAGTAGTGCAGTGCAGGTAAACAAGTATATATGCCGCCCGAGAGGTGAACTTGTTCCCCCCCATCGAGCGAGCACGTGTGCCTGTACATCCCTCCGTTCGTCCCTTCGTTCAGCCGGTCCGTTTTCTATTTCTCGTGTGTACCTTTGGGCGATTTTTACGATTTTCCCTTTACGGCGACACGTGGGAATCCTCTGCTTGGGTATAGCAAACATTATTTAAGTTATTTACACGCGAACTTCGAACGGAAGCTATACTCGGTGGTGTTTTTTGTATTTTCTTTTCGGGATATTACTTGTTTCGAGTGAACCAAACAGAGCATCCGACAACCTTGGTTTCGGGAGTTTTGCTTCTTTCGAACGCCCGAAACGTTCGTCCTTCCGTTTGGAGGTCATTTGTAATTTGTTTCCAATCAAAAACCACATTTTTTCCCTCTCGATCATCTCGACGATCCGCAAGAGATGGAAGTTGTGATATAGGCACTGCGCAAAACACACCTGAATTATCCGCCCTCCAAATGCGTGCTTTTGGGGAAATTGATTTTGCTTCCGTGTGTACACACATATATATATATATATATATATATGTATAGGCGGGTGGAATGGTTTTTACCGTTATAGGTACGCCTCTTTGATTTCTCAGCGGAAAGTGCACGATCGTCCCTCGCGCACACCTCTCCTCCTCGAAATGCTCGCACATCAAGTATACCATGGGATTTCTTTCGTNATATATATGCGGGGTGACCATTAGACTCGTTAAATCATCCGCTCGAGTCAAAATTAAAACTTTCCCATTGGGTTTTTGTGTGTGTTTTCTTTCCGCCGTGACATTTAATTCAACAACATCGGAATAAACATCCCCGGATGCGCGTTATCCGCCGTTGGCCAGGTAAATACAAACACCCGAGCGAATTTCATCGGCGATCGTGGCTCGCGTGCTATTAATTTATAAGCGAGCAGCTATAAATCTTGACGCTAGCGCGCGCGTGTGTATTTGTGCGCCGAATTCAGCATAAGTTAATGGGATTTGAATAAAATAATTTTGCGAGTTGTTTGTTTTACGATTGATTTTTTTGCCGATCGATTGGTTCGATTTTTCAAATGTGGACAGTGAAAATCAATTATCGGGTATTCGTGCGCAGTTAAACATTTTGAGCCATAAAATGATTTACGTGACGGTTTCTACAATGCAGTTGTTGAGTGAAAAATTTTCAAAGTTTCACAATTTATACGACATGTACCACAAAAAATACACAGGGCCAACGAAAAAAGTGATTAAGATTTTTTTTATTGTTATTTGAGCTCAAAAAATGTTTAAATAGATTCAGAAATTCATTCTTAAATTATCGATGAAATTGGATGGGAAATTTTATCATTATCTGATCGGGTTTGATTGGTTTGACCAAAATCAAGGTGCAACTGATTTTACAAATATTTCAACGGACGAGTTGTTGTTGGACAAAAAATGTTGAGATCCAGTCCAAGTGAAGTCATCGGTGTTTTGCAATGAAATTACCGCAAAAATATTGTGACTCGCTGAAACAAATGTTTCCGCTTGCATCAAATAATTTGTTAGTTACGTGTGTATATTCAAAGAAACATATTTGGGACTCAAAAGGACCCAAAACTTTTTAAAGGTCGTTATACCAGTTGAAGGACTCTTGGCGGGCTTCGAAACGTAAAAAGGGACAACGAGCCGCAGAGAGGCTTTAAAAGTACTTCAAAAGTTCGAATTTCCTCAAACAGTTATTTTTGTTTTACAAATTTGAGATGATGTCTCTGTTTTTGGCGAGTACGTGCAATGTAAAACATACGAATTTTTAATCTTGTACTGCAATAAATTTACCTGTTTTTAAAATTTCGGCACATTAAATTACAATTCAGTCTCTTTTTCGAGCGTTTAAGACAAAAACAACAAATGGAATGCAGTTTTTAATTTTGCCAAACAAGACGTCATCTTTTAAAATGTTTTTACCATAAAATGAATTGATTAATTGGCTCCGAAAAACAAACTACTTGTCAAAAGACTCGTTATATTAAAAAAATTTCTTCAAAAAACATTTAGATATTATTGAATAAATGTACCACAGTGATTATTTTAAATTATTTATCATTACGCTGACAAAAACGGTTTGAATTCAATGTGATCAATATGCAATACTGCTGATAATAATTACAAAACGACCTGTTTCTATGTAACTTCAAGCCTACTTTACGCCAAACCGCTACATGTGAATTCACCTTTCGCATATCCACCTTCGTATATATGTATATACAAATACAGACTGTAGGGCTCTCACAAAAAATCGCGAAAAAATATGACATAAGAAAGGTAACTTAAAAAAAGTGATAAATTCCTATAATACTAATAAATCACGTAAAAATATGATCACGCGAGGAGAAAGACGACGAGCGAGCGGATCGTGACGTTCCGCGCGTGTTGGTAAAAAAATGGAAATCCGGGAGCAACCGAGCAAGTTCAAAACAGTAGTCTTAACCTAACCAAACGACGAACCGATCTTTCGTCGTTCTATCTCTAGTCCTCTTTTCTGCGTCCTCGTCATGGATTACCTCGGCGAATTCATCGCTCTGGGTGTCGACAGCATCATATTTAGTATCTGTCTTAAACAGTACTTTTACTGCAAGAATTCCATTGCCGCTGTCAAGGTGAGAATCAAAGATTTTTCTCGTCGTCTACGAGAGTTGGAATGATCGTCTGCTCATTAATTTTTTTTTTTCAGGGTGCCGAGTTTCACGAAGTGGGAGATAATTTGAATGAACTCGTGAAAAACAGTACAGGAAATAAAATTGACTACGTGGCAATAAGGGGTGCTGTCAAGCCTATTGGTGAGCCCATTCACAGCATCAATAACAGAGACGTTACTGGTGTTATACAGAAACTTAGTGTTAAGGAGCATGTTGTCGTCAGGACGACTTCTGGTTATTGGTATATAAAATGATGATCGATTTACTCTTGACTCAACAATAAGTGTATGGTTGTCTCTTGGGTGTGTAACGCGAGTGATCATTATTGCAGGTCCGATCAGGAACACACGATGCAAGAGGTTTACAACTCTGTACCATTTGTTCTCGGAAAGGGCAATCATAAAGTTGAAGTAGTCGATGCCATGGCGGCTGAGATCTTGGATTTGGAAACAATATCGGATTTCTTTGAGCCAAGTGCACCAACTTTTGTTGATTATCTGTGGGGGTTTTTCACAGGTACACATTGTTTTATGATTACCCATTGTATCGATTTAAAATGCTGAAAATTAGAAACTCATCACTATTCTTAAATTGTGCATCAATGCAGGGCACAGGCAAAGAGGACTTCAGTCTACAGAAGAAATGTTGAGAGAAGGTTCCATTATCACTGGAATAGGCGAATTAACAAAGTCACTATCAAAATCAGATTCATTGGTTTTACAGCCACCTGTCAATGGCACACCATATTACATCACAACAATGTCTTTGAGTTCACTTCTACGAAAGTTGGATGATCGCAGAAAAATATATAGGTGAATTTAAAAAAAAAAAATTTCAAGTTATTAAAAGTTTGCAGTATCACCAATTTTAAATTGTTTCAGGTGGTTGTGTCTAATGTTTGGTGCAATTGGATTATTTATCGGCGGTATGGTGTTGAGGCGTTATTTAAAAGATAGGGAAGAGCAGAGAGTAGCCAATGAATTGCGAAAATCGCTCGAAGCAACGCGGAAAGAGCGACGGCAAAAAGTGCGTGACAAGGATCTTCCCGAGGATCAACTCTGCGTCGTATGTCGCTCGAATCCTCGCGAAATCGTTTTAATACCCTGTGGTCACGTCTGTTTATGCGAAGATTGTTCCCTCGATGTTTCTACAAACTGCCCAATATGCCGAAATTATATTAGTCAAAAAAACGCTGCTTACTTATAAGATTTAAACAATATAAATATCTGGTTTTATAAAAATCATGGAATATTTTTGTGATTTAAATGTAAAAAAAAAAAATTAAAAAAAAGATTTTCGAAAATTACGTGTGTTTATTTTTTTTTATAAACATTATATACACATTTAGAATTCAACAGTTAAAAATCTAAATTGTTTGGCGCTTTGTGCATCATTTCTGGTGTTACAAGAGATGCTCCTTTTCTTGATGGATTTGCTTTTATTACAGTCGGTTCCAATGGCTGCTCACAACTTGTTTGAAACTCAGCACTTTTATCTTTGATAATATTGGGTGGCATTTCTTTTTCCGCGGTATTAAATTGCATTGTAGATTTTTGAATCACGACTTGTTCAAGCTTTGATGTGAGTTTATGTACAATGTTTTCGTCATTTTTATCTTCAGATGATGATGTGGGTTCAGTACTCATGTTTTTCGAATTTGTCTTGGACTCCTCTTCTTCCAGTTGTCTAATCTCATCTACAATTTCTGGATATTGAGCAATCATTAACGACTTAAAAACATGGATGTTAATCCCATAATCATCATCTTCATCATCAACCAGTACTTCTGGGTGGTTTGGATTTTCTAGTAATATGGGAGGGCATCGACACTTTTTTTTCTTTGCTTCTTGTTTAATGGTAGTATCAGATACATCATCATAATTAGAAGTTGATGTTGAAGGTAGGGAGCAACATTCTTCAGATTTACATGATGAACTACCAATTTTTTTATTTGAAGTTGATTGGTCATCTTCTGTACATTCACTGTTGCAATTTAAAGCAATTGGTTGATTGCCAGATGTGCAAGCTTCGTCTAAAGGATCTAATTTTTTTTCAGAAATTAAAGTTTTGGATGGACAGTCATCGTCACAAGTTTTCTCTTCTTCACTGTCACTATTAAATTTAGGATCTTTGAAAGCTACGAGATTGTCAAAGTTTCTTTCATCGAGCCACTCTGAGAAATATGTAATAGTTATTATTTCATGATCAGGGTTGTTACACGTTGGTTCAGAATTTAGCGATTCTTCTTGCATATTGAGTGGAATTTGTGATCCACAACCAGATCTACAATTTCCATTTCCTGATCCCCCACACATCATTGCTTGTTTTTGTCTCTTTTCATCTCGCCTGAGTTTTTTCTTACTTACTCCTTTTTCAATCCTAGTTTTAGTTTTATTTTCTGAGCCATCATTTACCTTGAGGCCCATAGCTCTTTTGGCCTTGTTTGATTTACCTATACCCAACTTGGGATTACCAGTATTTAATCCTTCCAATAAAACACAAGCTTTACATATTTCTTGACTTGCAACAAATCCACATCTAGTACAAGTTCGTCGTTCTGGTAACTTGATGTTTTCTTTGAACACCAAATGTTCAGCTAAAAGTACAAAAACAAATCAAGGCTTATTTTAAAACCTGTAATAGTTTTTTTCTATTTTTTTGTTATTAGATCTTCTTGTGCAGTAAATAATACTTACCAGAGTAAATGATATCGAGTATACAAGTAGGCCTAATTCTTTCGATTTGCTTGAGATATTCTCTGGTGTATCCTCTGTATGCATTAGGAGCATACTTACACTCTGTAGAAAAGTATACTAAATTTTTGTAATGAGCATACATAACTATTTCTTTTTCATATGCATATTTCAGTGGCTTGCACCTTGGAATACTTCCTTCCCCTTGCTAAATAAAATGACCAGATTATTTAGTATGTGCAGGAAAAATTATTTCTGAAAATACTCATAGCTTGACGATTTGTGAATACTTAAATACTTACTGTTATTATTTTTGTACATCTGGAGAACCTTGCATAATCACCTCTGAAAATGTTCATGAGAACAGTTTCAGCCATGTCATCTGCATTGTGACCAGTGACAATCATGTCAACTCCTAACAAAGCTGCACCTCGATCCAGTGCCTGCCTTCTAAAGGTTCCACAGAAAGTGCAGTTATTCTTGTTACCAATTTGAGAAACGATTTCATCCATCGTCCAGCCATAAAGGTCTTTGTAGGACAAAATTTTCAAAGGCAACTGATAATCATCTCTGTTCTGTTTAACCGTTTCAAGACTGTCATCTCTGTATCCACTAATACCTTCATCAATGGATAAGAGAAACAAGTCCAGTCCATAATCATAACGCTCATTAAGCAATTTCATAACATGGGCTAATACAGTGGAGTCTTTGCCTCCTGAGGCACCTATTGCAACTTTGTCACCCTTCTTAAATAATTGTGCATTTACTATGGTCATGTGTATTTCTAATTCAAAGACTAAAAAGAAACATTCCTTACACATAGCATGCCCAGACTTTGGTCTCTGTGAATTTCAATTGATATTTTTTTCTTTTTTTTTTCTTTTTTTTTTTTTTGTGAAAAATTTTTTCAGCAATTTAAATTTTGTAAAACTTACTTTTAAGACAGCTGGGTTTTTGCAGTCTTCAACGTCACAGATAACTGGCATATTGTCAACTTTGATCAGACTGCAAATGTTACAAGTACATTGAACTATGTCGTTTCTAAGGAATATTGAATAAAGAAAATTGAAATTTTATTATTCACCACAACTTTGCATAAAATTATGTTCTGAGTTACAAATAAACGAGTCTTAAACTAACCTCAAATTATCACACTGACAACTATTTTTTTTTTAAAACAAACAACTTTTGTAGTTTACAATTCCACTATTATGAACAACTTTTGATAAAGAAAATAAAATCAAACTGTACACACTTTAAACTGATAAGTATTATTTTTGTATTTTAAAGTTTTTCACGAACGTCAATGTGTTCTATTATCTCATAACCTTCATAATCTTCCACTATAATGTGAAGATAAGATAATAAGATAAACAAAAATAAGTGCCTGCGCAGGATAGTTTGAAATTAGAACGATTATTTAAAAAAAAAAGCTATAGTTCATCCACAAAGGAAATAAAACAAGTATTCAATGAATTGTAAATTTTGAATCTATGATAAAATTGTACAATTGTGTTACAATTAACGTAATTTTTATAAAATACAAAAATATGGATACGTATTAACACTTTATAAGAAATGGTATCGAGGTAGTAAGAAATAAATTTTGGAACACATAAAATAAAATTGTATGGTGTATTTATTAATCCAAAAGAACGTAATACATGTAAAGTCGTGCAAAAATAGCCATTAAAGCTTTCAATAACACGATTTTATGAGTTACAAAATTATTATATGCTCGAAAAAAAAAAAAAAATTTTAATTAACATCAAAAATAGCGCAAATAATATATTTAACAATTTTTTTCAAAGAAAAGTATCTGTCGTTCCTTGTATATTTATTGTAATTTCAGACGCAATGTTTTCAATGATTGATCAGTGTGGGTGATAAGTAAGGGATGCCTTTGAGAAGAGATTTTATAGTATCGTTTATCAACTAAATGAGGAAAGTGGTAACCAAGGTCAATACCGTAATTGTCACCACTTACCAGTAACAACTAGAGGAGGAGGACTCAGGTTGCATGCCTTCGAGAAATGAAATTTGATACAACTCGTGACATAAATTATTAAATGAATTACATTTCATATTACAGAGATAGTAGAATTGAACCATTTAACCAGAGAATCCAGCTCAAGATACTTGTTTAAGACTCAAAAGGACTGGAAAATCAATAGAGTGATTACTTTACAAAGGTAGACCAGTGTAACGAGGCATTACATGCCCAGATGTGCAGACATTATTATCAATGTCATGAGGATGCCTGTAAAAGACCAGTCGAAAAAATAAAAATTTGTTCTGAAAAGCAAGCGTTACGGTGTTATTATTTGTCTTAAAAGATTACTCCAACGTCACAATTGATTTTACATCTTACTAGTTATGTAGTATTTATTGAATTGAGGGAGAATTGAGGGAGAACTGAATCAGATCGTAAATAATATCAGACAATCCCTTGACGTACGTGAATTTTTCTTTTTTTTTAAATACAAATAATTGACGAATGGATTTAAAAGAGATCGTTAAATATTTGTCTTAATTTAGTGTTTTAATGAGGTCGGCTAAGTCCGACGAAACGTCAAATTGTAAATATGAAAAGTATTCCGTATAACCAAGATGTCTTACGGTTTAGTTTTCCTAATTAAATTAAAAACTAATGATCTCACATTATTTATTGAAAGCAGTATCAAATTCAGAGATCAATAGTGCAAGAGAGCGAGGAAAAGAAAATACGATGGATAAAGGATAATTTTAACCACTTTGATGAATGTTTAAATTTAAAACCAGTGATCTCATATTATTCATTGAAAGCAATGACGATTCGATAGATATCACTAGTGTAAAATAATTAGAAAAGGAAAAACGTTGGTTAGAAAATTAATAATTAACCACATTGATGAATATTATGAGAAAAGATGCTGACATTCAAGGTATAAGAATCATTTAAACAATATCAGACATAAAGAATGAATTGTTAATCATCTAGATGAATATTATCACAAAAGAAGAGATATTGAACATTGAGGGAATCAGAATCCCTTCAAATAAAACTAGAGTGTGGCATTAGGACGCGTAAAAACAGCTTCAGAGAACTGAATCTGACATATTAAATACGCAAACCTAAAGTGATGTAAGTACTTAAATACTTTTTAATATACTTTTTCAACCACTAACGTGGTTAAGGCGATACTTTATTGAGATTTTATACTCGTGATAAATTTATAACATTACTTTTATTTTAATGCACAGCCATAAATTAGCGACGCGTTTTTAGTTAATTTCGTTTGAGATATTAGCACGTGAGTTAACAATTAAAAGCTTTGATTGTAATGGAATAGAATCTGATGCAAAGGACAAGATTTTTTACATCTTGATGAAATAAAAAATTAAACTAGAGAACGAGTTATTGTCGTTCTATAAGAAAAATGTATTAAAATAGAATATGTGTTCATGATCTAATAGCTTAAAGTATCAAGATAAAATACTGTTTTGCAAGGAACATGAACCTACTAGAGTATGGGCAACCAAGTTGAAATTACTGGTTTTTGTTAATAAATTTTGAAGATTTTTAAGAGACTTTTCAAATACAATAACTTTATAAATCAATATAAGAAATATATCACTCCATTTTGAAGTTATGCTAGTTGAAGACATTTTAAAATAATATACTGTACCTTTATGATATTTAGATAGTTATAGAGGTAGTCTAAATTTTTTTTTTTACTGTTCTGGGATGCTCAGTTAGAAAATTTTCCACATCAATGTGTGGCCATTAGGAATGCTATCAGAAATATCGTTTAATTAAAAATGTTGAAAACAACAGGAGTTGCTGAGTTATTTTAATATTTTTAGTTTCGTGTTTTTTTTATGGTCTTATACACATCTACGCTTTTTCCTTTAGTCTAACGACAGATTTATTGCTATTCTGTTAAGATTAATAAAATTAGTTTGCTTTGTTGGATGTTATTGAAGTCTTTTACTATTATTTTTTTCTGTCATTGCATCAATTTTTTTGTAAACCTTTATCTTCCTGGAAGTGTTGTTAGTTGAATATTTGTGGTTCTAAGTGACCAGTGTGACCACTGTTTTTATAGAACTGCAACAAAGAACAAATTTCGTACTCTATAAAATAAGTATGCTTCAGAACAAGTAGAACAAATGAGTTTTGAATAACTCGCTATATTAACGTCTATTTAGTGGAAATACTGTTTTCCTTGACATAATTAATTATTTCTAACTCGTAAGTACAACATCAAAATACATAACATTTTACTCAAAAGTACAATGTACTCAGAGGTTTAGAAACTTGTGGGAAATGGCTCGAATCGCTAAAGCTCTGATTCAAAAGTTTAGGGCCACTTTTTAGTTCAGAAATTCGCAACGCTAGATGGCGCTGATCCAAATAATTATCACTTCTTATATCAGAGTTATAAACCAGCCGCAACTAATGTTATAGATAGATAATAAAAAGTTGACGTGGTCTGTGCTATTTGCGGCAAGTTAACAATTTATTTTTTACCCAAAAGTCGACCTCCAAAAATATAGATATTCATATGGTTTAATAAAATCGACCATATGGCATTACTTAGTAGTAATTACTTTAATTACTACACATAACTTCACGTACATCTTACAGCGTGCTCTCTTTACCAGAATGATAAAATCAGAGGCTGTAAAGTTACGTA